TGTGGCACTGGAGCTCACGTCTGATGAATGTTCTATGGGCCAGGCGTGTGCGTGACACACAAACACGCGTTGAGAGTTATTTAACCCGTATCAAGATCAGTCGGCCATGACAGATATTTCATCGCCTCCCACAACCGCGATTAACAGACTGCGGAGTTTAGCGATCGAACGTCTTGCGGTTAAATGCACAGACCCACACAAAACGATGGCTTGTATTGATCGGCAAGTCTTAGGCGACGATAGTGGTAGGGCGCTGATAAGCGTCCTTAAGTGACTCGGACGCGATGTTCAGCAGATGAGCGATGCAAAATGACTGTAACTTTGTTACGCTGCAACTTGCAGCGATGGTTGCCTGATAGTTTGAGTACCGTCGGTTTCTTCTTCCGAATGAAGCCGAAATGTCTCCCGAAAATCTCCGGATTGATGTGGTTACACACGTAAAACTCGACAAAGGATATGCCAAAACTGAGAACTAGAGCAAGGGTATAATCCACACAAGTTGGTTCCAAGCGATGGGAAGTACTGATGGAGCTTGTCGAACTGGTTCGAACGAACGCACGCAAAATATTGTGTGGGGAGAATTAGAGTGGCCACAGAGAGCAGAGCGAGACCTGAGTTAAAGTGGGGCCTTACACGTATGCAATGAATTCAGAGGCGGCGCTGACTGTATTATGTCCGATAAAGTCTCTAACTAATGCTGTGGGATATCTCGATGCCCCCATCTACGAAGACGGATAGCAACAGCATGACCAGGACTTCCAATCTGTTTCTTCGTACGTCATCGAATGGCCACCTCACGGTGGTGAAGCGACCGAATGTAATGCACCTCGAGGTAGTCGGTCAACGGGCATGCAGAAGACACGAGCTACACAACGCAGGTCGTTAAGCTAGCACTCAAGTGAGGTACCGAAATGCTTCCTACCAAAAACAAACTGACGGAAAGTCTTCGGGTTCACGAGCCTAGTTTCGTTTGAACATGAAAAGCTCATGTCGAATCTCTTTCAAAGTGGGAAGTCGGCAAGCGGCAATGTCGCAGCAGACGTGCTGAACTGCTCTTCAAAATGTTCCGCCCAGGGTGTTAGCCAACGACGTTGAGAATGGATCAACTGTCCATCTTTCTCAACTATGGTCTCGCTAACTGATGGTTTTCTTAAACTCGTGTTCCGGATGAGTTGAAATAGCCCTCGACTGTTCCCAACCGCACTGGTTTTCCCTATTTCACGAGCCCTTGACATCCACCAAGGTTCCCGGTCGATTCGAAGACTGCTTGAGAGACGTCGTTTGGAGAATTACGGACAAGCTGAAACCCAGTGCCTATCAGAACGTGTTACCGTGATTCGATCAGACTGATCGAGGCATCAAAGATCCATTCAGAGTTGTGGCGCCTAAAGTTGGGTGCACAGTATGCGTCAAAGGCATTCTTCATGGCGCACTTGAGACGATGCCAGTCAGCGTTCGGCATACAATCCTCATTCATCACTGACAACTGGTGTGAAAGTTCGTCATGATGGCGCTGAACGGCAGATTGCGAGTTCAAGCCGCAGGTAAGAAGGATAAAAGATAGACGCTACTTTGAAGCAGGAAAAGTGAACGCCAAGCGTGCGCGCCCTAGACACGTGCTCCAAATTGATCGACAGTCCTGGACTGGTGTGCGCCATCTGTAGTTGATGGCAATATGGTCAAGTTGGGTCCAAGGGACTGAGGGATTCAGTGGCCGCCAGGTGACGCGATGTGAACGTATGTGCTGGAAAGCATTACTGCTAAGGTCAAGGTTATGGCCGGCGCACAGTAGCAGGAATCAACCACCATTGTCCGTTTGGCGCGCATGGACTACGAAACGGCCACCCAGGTGCTGCTCAGAAAATGAAGGAGGACCCACTTAGGCATTTGTGTCGCCTGCAAAAATCCCGAGGGGAGTATCCTTCGCAATGCGAAGAAGAGACGAGGGCTGTTGATAGAAACCGTCTTTGATACCCCCGAAACTGTATTCACTAGGGGCATACACCGAGGCAGTGAAAGGGCTCCTTGTATTCAGACGCCGCTTACTAACTCCGATAGAGGTTCGAAGTCGAACCGCACACATGCGGCTGTTCACTGGTACCCAGTTGAGCAGACTGGATTTAACATATTTGCTGTGCTGTGAATACCTTGAGCCATTGACTCAGTATCGCAATGACGCGAACAGTGTAGCCATCATCTGAATCAGAACCAGGGAGTCGAAGATTGGTCACAACGCTGTTAGCTTGTATGCGTGTTACGGAGACAGCACACATCAATACCAAGAGAGTAATGAGTGAGAATCAGTGCTGTCTGCTGGCCGATCTGACCTCGAGTGAGGACGGTAAAAGAACAAAAGTGAAGTGAAATGCTAGGTTTGATGGAAGAGCTACATGAATGGATAGCAGCAGTTGTGCGGTCAGCGGCAGTCTTGCTCAGTAGACGGGGAATAGGAGAGTTGATAGAAAAATAAGAAGCAGAAGAGGGAGAATTGTCGACGTTGTCAAGAGGGCAGATGATACTCTCCAGCTGACCATTCCGAGAGGGGGGTTTTGCTCAAGGTGCCCTGCCTCTAGCCTTTGAATCAAAAGTCTGACACAATTATCTAGATATTTTCCAAATCGATCTGATGACCGGTGTCCAGCGTACGCACAGATGAGGCAGAATCGACCAGCAGAGCTCCGTATTCATGCTCATTCCTCGGCAGTCGAAAAATGCGCCTTTTGTGTTTTAAAGATCCGCGTCCGCAGCTCTCGTTGTTTGACCAATTTATATGCACGTACAGTCCTCGCAGTTGATTTCGTACACACAGCTAGTTGTCTCATCTGTAGGAAGGGGTCCACCAAGCGCACCAGCGTTGAACGCAAGGTTTGGCCACGTTGGAAGATCACCCTTATACCCTCCTTGTCCAATGCCCTCCGAAATGCTTCCGAAGTTACCTTTTTGTAAGGAATTCCTACTGTCCATATTCACTGCGTTGTAGACCTTGCCTATGAGTTTAATGATTTTTGTAACTGACACGTTACTAAACGTCGCGGATAACTACTGTCTGGTAGTAGGGGAGCCTATGCCGTCGACTGTATGCTACATGGGAACGTAGCTTATATTTCTTTGGTAGCCCATAAAGCCTTGGAGGTGGAGTCGAATTTGGATAGAGACTGAACCAGTTACCTACGCCTAAAGCGTTCCTTTACGACTCTCAAGTAGTTGTTAACCTCCGAATAGTCCCATTCTGACTGGACCACTTGAGATGACATTGGCACCCGCGTCTGTAAGTGTCCCTTGACTCATATCTCAGTTGTCACCATTATCTCCCTCACCCGCTATAAAATGCCACGCCAACATTATACCAATATACCTGGCCTGACGGAGCCAACCAAATAAGTCTACCGGTTGTTCACAAATATTCTCTGCTTGTTTATTACGAAGTAGAACTTCTACGACGGTTCGCGACTCCAATCTTTTATTCGGCTGTCTAACCCTCAAGACACTGGTGTGTGCAGGCGCAGGAAAGTTCCACAAAACTAGTAGGTATGATCCGTTCTTTTTCCAACGGCATGCCACGACAGTTGGGATTTCGCGAAAAGACACTGAAGTGTACAAGCCGTGCAACCAGTGGCTTTCGAGGAAAGAAAGTTGGTTCGGTTTGCACTAGTAGGCTTTATTCCCCATTCGTTTCCAAGCAAGGAAGGCAAGCTGTCCATTCGGTCAATTCGAAAGACTGAACTTGGGATTTTGGACAACATGGTGCCTTATCTTACTCGGGCTGCGAGATTACTTGAGATCATGAGTCTCAATGATGTAAGTCCTTTGCACTAACCCAGTAGTACGAGCAGTACATTAGAGCCTCGTTCTCACGCTTCTTTGCCAAATAAACGCTAGTGGCTGCCTGCATTCGGGCTTGCGCAATGCGAAGTCGTCCATACTTGTGCCGGTCCAAACCGGTGATCAGACTCGGGCGCGACATTAACTTGGTAGCGAGAACTCATGAACCACTATGTGCTAACAGACCGCTGCCTAAACATAAATTGATTCATAGCATCAGCCTCTAGAGCGGACGACTGGAAACTGCATCATTATACAACAGTGCTTTACGACAGTCGAGCAGCTCATAAGCGCACAAAGTAGATGTAAAGTAAACAGCAACTGATTCGGATAAGAAGGCGGCTGCCGACATCATTAATCATGACATGTGAGTGATCGACTTGTCGTAGTCAGGACGCAATGAGCTTATTCGATCTTTTCCAAATGCGATGATATAATCGGCGCTTTCTACCAGCGTGCACATAGCCCCCTTCAGTTGGGCTAGTGTCGTTTGACGGGTTGCAACGTAAAAGTATGCTCTCAAGATGCTATTAAACTCAACTTCAGGGTTTCGCAAGAAGGTTAATCGTTGTGCAGTGGCACCTTGTGCTGAAATGACTGGAACTGCCGGAAATCCGGTTCAGGAAGTTCGCTACCGGCTGTATATTGCCATAACGAAGCTCATCGGTTTGTTTCTGCTCCTGTGTGTACGGCACTGTGGACCACAACGGAAATGTTCGCCGCTAAAAGTGTAATCTTATCAGCAACCGGTTGTCACAAAAAGTAACAGTGTCGAAATTACCGTCTTAAAAGCGAGATCCAGAAAATTCGATCCAGTGGGCGCCGCTTATGCAAGAGCATGGCGCTCGAATTGGAAGGGTGAAGCGCGCCACTAATAAACACTGTGATGCGAGGATGGCTTAAAACGGGCTGTTCAGAGAGGCCTATCGTGAGCGCAGAGGCCATTAAGTTTGACGACATATGTGAAAACCTAATGTCGAAACACAAGTGACATAAGTGTATCCGATCAGTAAAAATGTCGCGAAGCTAGCAAGAGCTTGAATGCATGCTGATGAACGATTTGATAGTGATGTTACGTATCGTTGGGTTTAGGATCACAGTTGTGACCGACCCTGCAGCTTGAGAGTGAGTTCAGCAACGTTTCTGAAGCCATCCGGAGTACAAATGTATCCAAAATTGGAAAATGCAAAAAACATTGAAATATTATAGAAGAAACAATTGTGCACACGACAATATCATGTAACCATCAACGGGCAAGCCTGGCGTCAGCATACAATTCACGAACACGTGACGACTGCCGTGTGTGTCGCAAGGATCACATGAAAGTGTGGCCATGATAGAACGTAAGGGGAACACTTTATCAGGGGTTTTGAACAGGGGTAAAACGAAGTTAGCGTATCTTCGAAATATATGGCTTACATACCACAATGAAGAAGCAGGTTGGAGAATGGTGAACAATCTTATTCATCACGCGTCATTGTCGATCACAAATAGGATTTCCGGTTTGCATAAACCCAACTGCTCAAATGATGGAGGGTCTTTGTCTGAACTAGGTTTCCAATCGGTCACTACACCCATGAGGTCCGTACCAATGCCTGCAGAACGACATGACGGATTTGTGTAATTATCTGTGTTGGGGTCCTCGACGGTGGAATGAGTGACTGGAATAGTACCTTCAGTGATATAGTCTTCTGGGTCTGATTCATCTTCCGGTTTGCACGGGAGTAGACGCTTTGGAAAGTTGGCTTGGACTTCAAAATTTACCGGAGAATCTCCCAATGAGAGGATGAAATAATACAGGATCTAAAAAATGGAAAATTCACATAGCTCGGACTCTCGTTAATACCCAGAGACACAAAGGTCAATCGAAAGGAAACAGAAATCAAATACTCGAGCAGCTGTTCACATAGGAGCCAAGATGCCTGTCGAGGTAGCGATCCCGACCACCCATAGCGTGAGTGACAGCCGGTCTCAAGGTGGACGTCCGCACTTCCAAATGCTGATACATAAACACCTACGGTGAATTGATCGGGTGGCCAAATCCGTGCCATGTGTTCCGGCTTGTGTTGGCCAGAGGACAGTGGCCCGATTTTGACATACTTTTTTCGAGGTGGGTGTTAAGGATCTGTTAACTACCCAAAAACGAAAAATTCGAAATGCGAACCACAACGAATCAAGGAAAGGTGGGGATTCGAAAACAGAAAAATAGCATTCGATGAAGTCGATAACTAAGGAAACGGAAAATAGCAGATAAACAGTACAGGTTAACGAAAGTAATCTAAATATGGTCGCCAGTTTGGTACAAAATAAGCGAAAAAGCGATTTACGCAATGCTAAACTCCGCACCGGACATAGTGTTGTAAAAGATTGCAGAAAGCGGTCCATAATATCGGCGCCAGCCAAGAAGGCGCCAAGCGTTTCTGTCACCCACAATAATCACCACACACATTCCTGGCCGAACGGATGTGGAACAGAATTTTCCGACAGAATTCACCTTTGGCGACCCCCAATTATCGGCCGGTATGGATGTATAAACAATCGTTAAAAGCCATTGTGTCCCCTGACGCTATCGGTTAATCAAGGAGGAAACACCGATCTCAAGCCTAGTATGTATGCCCAACTGTCTAAGGCGACTAGCAGTTAGCAACAATCATTCCTATCTATAAAATGAGTCAAGGTTCGCCTTCAAACGTCTTACCTGGACCATGCTGCTGCAGCTCGCAGTTTCAAGTAGGAATTAAATCAGTGAAAGTAATGCTGGCTCTTGCCTCGGTAGCAGCCGCATTGACTGCACTCTCACACCCAGGTCACCCAGTCAATACCAGAACGGTAAAATCTTGATTGATGCGACCTTCCTTTACTCAGCGACTGTTTTTGACCCACTTTTGACCCTGGTTGACTAACTGCTCGCACTGATTAGCACCTACATGGTAATCTCACATCCTCTCATACCAGATGAACCAAGTCCCAGCATCTGCCAAATGGGAGAGTAGAGGTTGATGACCTCATTGCACGAAATTCGAGCATGGGAGAAAACAGTCTACGTGTTACAAGCCCGCGTCGATTGGCGCAGAGCACAAACGTCGTAGCTGGTTTATGACAGTGAAGCAATTCTGTTGGCTTGCGACCCCAATCTCTAAATCGCGAGCAACGGTCAAAGACAACTCCGCTAAAACATGTTCCGCCAACCATTGTCATAGATGTATCTTATGATATTGTCAAAGAAAGAACCATCCACTATTCCGGAATTTCCAAGACTGTGTAAACGGCCCCAAATAGACGATAGCGGGGTTCGCTATCAAACTGCTTAGCTAGGCCTGCTCCCTACTGCGTGTAGCTCAGATCAACGAGTCAAAGGGCGAAGGTGGGAAGCTGGACGAAACCCATCTCTCCGTGACGCGCAGCTGGGAAATATCAACCGCCCACAAAATCCAGTCTCTAGCGTTCCTACTTCTTTCCCTTTCTTCCGCTCCCTCAAACCACTTCCATCCGGTTTAACCAGTAATGCATTGTTGCTGACTTCGTGTCTAATGCCAACGGTGTACCTAAATCGTTTTTTAGACCTTAGTATCTCTTAAGTTCTCACTATGTCAAGTCGGTAGAATGGTAGCACCAGCTCTCGCTGTTAACTATTGGAATGGGCAAGTCACGGATCTCCGAAGCATGCACGCGAGATTCTTTTGCCGTCGAAGTGGACCTTCGAGTACGCGGTCTAGCATCTGTTGACAATGGCTATATTCCCCGCGTCCCTGACCACGCAAGTTGATAGTTCGAGATGCTTAATGTGTCGGTATTTCCCAAAGCAGAAACGTCAAACAAATCGAGTGGGCCCCAGTGAATCATCCGAAAACCAGACTCCTTCGTATTAATCCCGTGTTTACCTAAACCAACTGCAGCTCAGAGGCCATACAGGAAAAATTCAACCGGCAACCCTCACCCATCATCCCTAAGATGGAGAATATTGATATTCTTATCGTTGCTGTATGCATGAATTTCTAAGCGGGTCGTAGGTCGAGCATCGAACGGGTTGGGTGATAGCTCGGATGGTGATACCTGCAGGATAGATAATGACTGCCAGTTTCCTCATTAATGAACCGATCGCAACCTTTATGTTTGTAAGACCTTTTAGCACAAACATTTACATCATCTTACCTGGTACTCACTCAACCCGATGATGCTCCGGACCTAGATTAGGATGAAGCATGCTACTCAAAATGAGAAAAGACACCTCGGTTACACACATGTCATCCAAACTAATGGCCTTGGAGAATTGCCAAACTTCGAGACCTCGCACTCATTATTTGGACTAACGATGTGGGATTCTGTAGCGCTCAAACGAAGTGGTATACTTGCTACCGCTAACTAAATGAAAGCCCGCTGGTGTTGAATGAAAAGTGCCATGGAAAATGCACCTGAAGGCAGATATCCAAACAACTTGAAGCGTTGAAACAGTGAACGGAATATTGTGGTGTCGATTAGTTCGATTAAGGCACTCAAGTGGCTCGCACTGTGTATTCAGTCTTAAAGGAATTTAGATTACGTGCTGTGGAGCTCTAGACTAGTGACCAGGACGAAAGCCGTCAACCACTATGTTGGGTCCCTCTCTCAGATTATGTATTAGTTCATCGCAAGTAGACTACCAGAATATATATATATATATATATATATATATATATATATATATATATATATATATATATATATACGGTATACTAATCAATTATGCTGTCGGTTCCTCCTTACGGCAGCGTAACAAAGATGCTCTACAACAAGGACATCCGCTAGGTGGAGCGATTTTACCAACAATGCTTGTGTCGGCTTCTACGCATCGATTGGGGTAGCCGAGTTGCTGAGATGAAAGTGCTCCGTCGCAGTGGCATGTATGCAGTGGACTGCATACTTCCACTGCGACATCCGTGGTGGCTCTGACATGTCAGCCATATGGATTCGACGAGGATATCCAAACAGTTTCTATATGGACAACTTAGTGCAGGGAAGTGAAACGTGAGAAAGCCGAAGCTATTTTACCAGGACGTGAGTTTATCACGACCTTATGTTTAACTTAGGTGTTGAGAAGCTGTGACAGTGGATCGCCTCCAAGGATGTGACCGCGTTTAGAATGCCGTTGCATAGGTGCACCAGAAATAACTGTTGCATCAGGAAGAAAAAGCGCCGATTACGGGAACGAAAGGCGCCGATGAAACCTAGTTCACTGACGTCAAGCACATGTGGTCATGTGTGCTTCAGCCAAACAATCAACGTGGCCACGAGGGGCTAAGATCGAAGAGACGACAGGTAAGTTGAATAAATGAGCATCAGAGCTTGGTGAGTACGCTGCTCTCGATTCCATTTACTAACTAGGTCATCCATGCGGTCGATGCCGCATGTGTGGGTGGGTGTTTGTTCTCTCATATTCTATGTGTTTGCTTTTTGTTATCCCCGGGTCTGACAGGCTTGGTGTGAATGTTGACAAAGTGCGTACCTGCCGAGAAGCACCATCTCGGCTCCAGGAAACAGTTGGTCGTTACTGAGGTAGATGGGGTGCACGGTCTCTGTGACCCAGCTTAGCTCGAAACGTGATTCCATGCGTCAAATATGGAACGGGTTACGGCCCAACTACGGCCCTGCATACGTTTAGTATACATGTCTTCTGTTTAGCTGAATTGATGAACGCCGTATGCTGAGGCACAATACGTCGGATCCAATTCAATCGTAGCTAAAATCCACATGCCCCCTAGAATTATTCCTCTGGATTTACAGTGGATATGTGGTGTGTAGACGGAGCTGTGAGTGAAGCCACCCATAATTCCTCTGTAGGCGCAGGCGTTCTTTGGCTGTTCCCGGTCAAAGCTGCAGTAAAATCCATCAACAGTTGCCAATGACAATGAGTCGGATATTGAGAAAGCCGATGGATGCGCACTACTGACGAGAGCCAGCAGGTTGGAACGAACGTCAGGTGATTTTATAGACATTTGGAGCACTGTAAGGTCTGTCTGACACTGCGGTCCCTATAGGACAGCCCTAAGAAGCCTCCACCTAAAGAGGGACCATGGATGATTTGTGTTGCATAACCCACCGCTCCATCCAAACATCCAATATAAAGCGTAAACCCGAAGGAATAAGACCAGAAGGCATGTGGATGGGAGTCACATTTCATTAAAGGAGCCGACCCACATACTCATTCAACATACACAGCAGCAGTATTCCAGTCAGTCTAATCGAGAAATCATGCGTACCAAACGTACACAAGGCGATGGCTGGGCTTTAGCCCGTTCCACACAGGGAGCATGGAACCACTGTTTGAGCTTAGGCGTGGTCACGAAGATCATGTACCCCATCTCCCCCAGCAACGACCAACTGTTCACGGGAGAAAGTATAATCGAGATGGCGCCTTTCGACAGGTACGCACCTTACCAACATTCACAACGAACGCAGCCAGACCGGGGACATTAATAATCAAACAAATCGAATATGAGAAAATGGATAGGCAGGTACATGTGCAGACCAACTGCAGCGATGAGATAAGCACACCTGCCACATGTATGGTCTCGTTAGTAAGTGGAACCAGAAGAAGCGTACTTATCAAGCGCTGCGCTGACGATGCTTACCTATCCAACCGATCATCGCCTCTTAGCCGTTGGCCCCTCGTGACCACGTTGGTGGCTTACCAGACCGGCTTGGCTGGGGCAATGGCGACCACATGTGCTACAGCCCCATGCGATTGAGGTCGATGGTGTAGACTCTATCGGTACCAGCCTGAAAAAGACATCAGGGCAGCAAAAGCCAAAGAAAGAAAATGGAGG